CCGGCTGGGTGGGCAGCGGGGAGGGTAGCACTGGGTCTGAGGCGTCGCGGGAGGGTCTGGCCACTGCGCCTCATCTTTTCTGAACCGACTCTTATGCTGAAAACCTCTCTTGGCTCAACACGTGGATTTTTCTGGAAGTGGTGGATGAGTTGGTAGCTGCCTGGTGACCACAGCAGGAAGCAATGCATCTTTTGAATGTTGTTGTTGGAACGGTCTTAATTTTTCCATGGTAGTGTCCTTCTCGCGTGCAATGCAAGACTGTTCAGTTTTCCTTGTGTGAAACATCCAGTGCATAAGTGTGATATTGTACAAATGTACCGTCCTGAGCTGAAGCTTAGTGTCAGCACATCTCGAGATTGGTTCCTCCTGGTTATATGTCTGTGTATCCAAGGCTTCTTCCTTAGAAGGGTCTCCATCAGTGGACAGAGATCTTGTCACAGATGATACCTGGTGTCAGCAAATAGAAGATAGTTTAGTCTTTCTGATCTCCTCAGCACCTGAAATAGCAGTCTCTTACTTGCAATCATTGTACAGTAATATTATTTTCAGTAACGTACTGTTTCAGAGAAGCTTTACAGATGTCTTTCAAGCTGCAAAGTACTGAAGTAGTCCTCTAGAATACCTTATTCTGTCTAATACCTATCATTGCTAATTAAATTTGTTACCAAGCATACACTTTGTATACCTGAATGTTGCATGTGGGAGATGAGACTTTTTTGACAATAAGGCTAACTGCTGAAAAAGGTATTTTTTTTCTGTTCATTCTTAAGAGTATGTAGGAACTCTGCTAGGCATTTGGGTTTCTTGTCCCAGGGCAAAGTTGGAGACTACGTCTGTTCTGCACTTCCAGAGTCTGTGGTGCCTTTGGGCGGTTACAGGCATGTTTAAGCTGCTGCTGAATCTGTTAAGCTGTAGCTTCGTGGTTGATGGCAGCACTCTTGAAGAAACACAAAAAAATCACAGCCTCAGTGGCCTGAGTCAGGAGTTGAATCTTATGCAGCACTTTATGATCTTTTAGTTTATGCCTCTTTCTGAGTTATGTCCTAATTTATGTTCTGATCACTGACCACTCACAGAGGCTTGCTCTCTGTTCTTGCGATGTCAATGCCCAACTTCTGTTTGTTCTTGTCTACCTTATGTTCTTTGGCTGTGCCAGCACGTTTTCATGTGTAGCCGTGATATTAGCAGATACATATGTTCCATGGCTGTGCAGCAAACAGCTTTCTATATGTGTGACTGCATATGGCTGCGCAGTATAACTGTGTGGAGGTAAGGGGTGTGGGGAAGTAATGAGGGGTGTTATCTCATCAGAGAGGTACAAAATAGGAATTAAGCACATAAATCTTCATGCCAAAGGTTACTTGTTTCAAACAGGTCCTGGGTTTTAAGTATCAGAGTCAAACTCCTGGTTTTTTTCTTTCCACAACTGAATTACTGTATTCTCTATATTTATGAAAATAAGACACAGAATGGAAGAAATGCTCATTGTCGTAGACACATTTTTACAACATATTTGCCTCACACATAAAAAGTTAGCAGCCTGTTGGTGTAAGCCTTGTGTGAAGGAAATACAGTATCTCCTTTGATTATTGGCAGCTTTGTATTTGGGATTGCTCTAGGTGTCTATATGACCACAAGAAGCTAGTTTGCAAACCGTGTTAGGAGGGAACTGTTGATTCAGGCAACTATTCTTTTTTTCAATGCTTCAGGCCACTTTGAGTGTCCACCATACAACCAGCAAACAATTAGAAGTGCTTACCATGTGAGGAATATCGAAGTCTTCAAACTCAAGCAGGTTAGTGAAAAATCTCTTTTTTTTTTTTTTTTAAACAGTGGTAAATAGCTTTCATTAATTTAGAAGTGAGATGTTAAAGCTACTCTGAACAAGTATGCTATTGGTTAGCAAATCTTACCAGCAACTCCCAGCTAATCTGGACAGGCCATTTTATGCTGGGTGTTATAAAAAAAACTGCTGAATATCTCCTTCAACACTTTGTGTAGCAGTGCAAATTTGATCTGAGCCTGGCACAGGCAGGAGTGGATTTTGGTGGGGTTTGGTTTTTTTTTTTTAATTGGATAAAATTCACAGAGTGGAACATACTCCAGCTATACGTTTCTGTTCCAGCTTTATATTAGCTTTAGGAAGATGGAGGCTACCTTGTCTAACATGCAAGGTGGTTGGTACAAAGTTGACTAATCAAAATTGAACCAGCTGAATAAGCTGATCCCAAATTTCTGTGGTTGGAGTATTTTTGACTTCAGGGTGAGAAATTCAAAGGACAGATTAGCTTTCTTTTTGGCTATTGCCTACCCCTGCTTTGTCACAAGGGCTACTCCATTTGGTTGAGATTGTGTATTTATAAGCATCTTGTGAATGATTATTCAGGTTGCAGTTGCACACTTAAGTGTTCGGTAGATATAGGGATGCTGAACACAGGACAAAGGCTTGCTGTCGTTGTAAAGAGTTAGATGGACTCGGACTCAGGTTTCATCTAGAAGTGTGTTCTGATACAGCTGATGGAAATATACTGAACATTGAGCCAGGACATGCTTAAGACACTGACTAGACTTCTGAGGGGTGCTTGCTTTGAGGAGGAATATTGTGTTTAGCCATTATCCCTTTTAAACAAAGCTTTTAAAAATCTCACGAGGAAGAAGATGCCTTTGACTGTTGGCAGAGAACTTGCTCTATTGCTGTAATTTTTAAGAGTCGTCTTCTGCGTGCCTGACACTGTGATGATATGATCTCTTTTATGAGGCAGTACATATAAACCACAGCTGAATATCCCAAAAAACCATAGCACAAACCATGGAGACTAGAGCCCCTTGAGAACTTCAAAGGCCACCTGAAAGATGGGACTCAGTGGTATACTTACTTGCTTTGGAAGTGAGGCTGTTGGTCACAGCCAACTCTGTACTGATCTGAGGTAGAACATGTTACACATGTTTCATCTTGTGCTGTGTAATTTCAGAACTTCTTTATCGTATGTGTTTTATTTATACCATATGCATTTTGGCTTGACAGCTAAAGAGTCCAATTGATATATTTATGTCACATGACTGGCCAAGGAGCATATATCACTATGGAAACAAGAAACAGCTTCTTAAAATGAAATCCTTCTTCCGTCAAGAAGTGGAGAGCAACACATTAGGAAGCCCTGCTGCTTCAGAGCTTCTGCAGCATCTGAAACCCACCTACTGGTTCTCAGCACATCTTCATGTTAAATTTGCAGCTTTCATGCAACACCAGGTAAAGGGGAAATAAAATCAAGAATGTATGTGTTCCAAGCACATTTTAGAATTCCAGTGCAGGTAATCATGTCCAGAAAAGCAACTTCTTAATGTTTTTGCTCAGTTATTAGAACTCAGCTTAAGCTGCAAAACGTTAAGTGGTGTTAAGACTAGTAGCTTAGGTAAGTTAGAGATGTTATAAATCAGGGTGTAACTACCTAATCTTCAGGGACAGCGTGAAATAGCTAACGTTACTGCACTTGAAACTTCTTAAGTTTATGGAAAAACACTCTCCCACTTTATTGGGGAAGGAGACAACTTCAAAACGAGGTGATAGAGAAGTGACTGAAAAGCAGATAGTGGTTAACCAGGGATGGGAGGATGCCTGTAGTAAGACTTGGCAGATGAAGTTGTCTGGTGGCCTGGGTAAAGCCAAAAACCAGCTTTTTTTCTGGGTAAAGCCAAAAACCAGTAGGTTGAAACTTCTCTTGATTTGAGCTATTCCTGAAAGTGGTGTGACATGCTATCCCTATTTGCAAGTTATTTAGCTGTACAAATGTAACTCTAGATCTTCTAGACTCAACAAGTCTGTTACCAATTATGTTAAAACTTTTCTTCTTGCTTCAGGGCTGGGTGTGCTCAGCTGCCCTGGTTAAGGATGAAGTGTGGCTCTTGCTTTATCTTGCTGTCATCTACATCCAGCTTCCTGTTAGACCTCCAGTGAAGTCTCTTTCTCCTTGTCCCTCCATCCCTTTCTTATAATCCCATGCTGATTTTCTATTTCAGAAAGTGTTTTTCTGTATAAGTTATGCCTTTAAGTCTCTCTATATAACTTATTTAGAATGGTCAAATTGTCATAGAAATGCTAACGACTGTGTTAACACCATTTGTTTCCTAGACAAACTCCAAAGAAGAGCTACCAAAAGCGACAAAGTTTTTGGCTCTGGATAAATGTCTGCCACACAGAGACTTTCTGCAGGTGATGACCATGAGCAGTGGGTTTTCACTTTTTAAGTACTTCACTTGTCTGGACTGCTAAGTGCTGTGCTTAGATACAAGCTGAAGAATAGTTCTGATAAATGGAGGAATTGGAAAGAAACTAGGAATGGTGCATGTGTGGAATGGTCTTTGTGTAATATTGTCTCGAACTAAGCAGACCTTGCGTACTGTCGTGCAGGCATAGTGTTTGCTTATTCCTACCATTTCCTTCCACCTTTGACTTAATTGGAGAAGTAGCTCTACTTTAACCTGAGTTGAATCTCCTCTTGTGTTTTTTTGACAAATGTCAGACCTAAGAAGAAAGCCCATCTTGAGGGTCTTCTTTTTTTGCCAGACCAGTTTGGGTCAGGCAGTGACTTCTTCACATCTGTATTCATTAATTCAGTTGAGTACTGCAATTTCCTTTCAGAATTGTGAATTCCTGCAGGAATTAGTGCAGCTTCCTAAGAGAATGGCTCTGCTTCTTTTTGTTTGGCTAGGAAGGGCAGAGGCCAAGTAGGAGGTCTAGGTTGTGGGAATTTTCAGTATGAGTGCCGAACTGATTTGCCAAGAGCGAAACAATGTTCATGTCTGTGGCCTGTGTACGCTGCCTGGGGTGCTGTCTGTAAAATCTCACATGGATGAATCTAAAATCCTTTGCTATGAGAGGGAGCTGCTGACAGCATGTTCTCCAAATGCAGACAAGTGTTTTAGTAGTCTAAAGTAGCTTTTATTTGTCACCTTAAAGGGAAGATGGTTCTTTATCTGTCCTTTGGATGTGTGGTGGGATCCGTTTGCCCTAGTAGCTACCTTTGAAGATGGGAGAGAGTATGAGGCTGAGCTTTTGCTATGCAAAGGTACACTGGGGTGCTAGTCCACGCTTAGAATTGTGTAGCAAAACTGGTCTGGAGTAGTACTACCTCCAGCAGCATTGTGATCCACCTGTGTGTGGTTCCTGTTTAAAGTATATCCTTCCTTCCCCCCGCCCCCTTCTAAAACTGTCTTACAAGGTTGAGTTACTTGATGGATTATTTAAAATCGGAGCCTAACTAGTGCAGTTTGGCTAAACTGAATGGTCTGATTTGGGTTAATGTCACTGAAGACAAAGTGATTTGGATTTCAGTTCGTCAGCTGTTGAAAGAGTTTAAAAATATTTCATGTTAATTTCATTGCTGTGCTAAGAATGTGTGTTTATGCAGCAGGGTAACTGTTGCTATCAATTCTAGATGTATATTTGCTTAGAAGGCGGCATGAACTTAAGAGCAGGCAAATTCTGGTTTCTAAGTTTCCTAACTGGTAGCTGGCCATAGGGAGAGGGGTGTTCTGCTTCTTAATTGCTATAAGCTAAAATACAGAAATGTCTTTTTTACTATTGTTGATAGTCCTTTCTTCGTCCCTTATTGCTGTAAACTTCTGTGTGGGGCTAACTTGAGAGGATGTGTTTGAGACCACTAGCTCAATGTACTTGAAACTTAATTAAAACTCTGTACCGTGAATGTAGCGCTTGAAACTTTAATCAGTTTTTGGTGTCAAGAGAAATAACTCGCCTCATCTTTTTTCTGTGTTTTTTTTTTAAACAGATAATAGACATAGAACATGATCCTAGTGCAGGTGACTCGCTGGAGTATGACGCTGAGTGGATTGCAGTCCTCAAGGCCACCAACAGTCTTGCTAATGTGACTCAGAGCTCATGGAATATGCCTGAAAATAATGGCCTCCATGCAAAGTAAGTTGCATGCAAAGTAGAGAAGGAAGTGGGATTTTGCTGGACTGGAAGTAAACTTACTGTGTTTCTCTGTTCTGCAGCCTGTAATGTCTGTAGGATTTGCTGAATGCCTTGGAAAACAAAGGGGATGGTGACAAGACCTGTGCTCTAGAGCGTGCAACTTCTTTACTGCTCTGCACGGGCAGTTAGGTTTTTTTTGCAGACTTAGATACCACCATTTGAGGGGCAAAAAATACAGGGTGGCTGATCATCTTGCCGGTTACATTGCGAGGCTGGATTATGAGGGTGGGCGGATGAATACTTATTGGGTGGGTTGACCCAAAGGCAATGTACTTTCCTGAAAAATCATTTGAGAAATTAGGTGTCTGTTGTAAGATGAATTTATTATTCATCTTTTGAAGTTTCTCTTTGCAGTGGGAACCAGAAATACCTTTTGACTAGCTGCACTGCACTTGTTTTAACTTTATACACTTATTTAGGTGGGATTACAGTGCGACAGAAGAAGCCATCAAAGAGGTATTAGAAGAGCTGAATCATAACCTCAAAATTCCTTGTAACTTCACACTGACAGCTGCTTGTTATGATCCCAGCAAGCCCCAAAAGCACGTGGAACCGGTTCATACCATCAATCCACAGACCACTGAGTTTTGTGCCCAGTTTGGCCTCACTGACATCAATGACAGGATCCAGCAAGCTAAAGAAGAGGGCTCAGTACGAGGCGAATATGAAGAGGAGGAGGAAGAGGAGATGGACAGTACTGGGTCAGCAGAGGAACCCAGTGAATATAATACAGATAATTCTGGACTTTCATCCATTAATCCAGATGAAATAATGCTGGATGAAGAAGGTGGTGATGAAGACTTGAGTACATGTTCTGTAGATCCTTCCCCTGATCATCCTCCTGACTTTTCTGCAAGTTTTTCTGACATCCGGATCATGCCAGATTCTATGGCAGTATCGTCTGATGATGCTATGGATTCCACTAATGAGGAACTGGAGAAATCTGGTGCGAGTAAGCAGGTGGAAGAGAAGAGCTTAAATGAGAGACCATTAAAGCGCATCGGTGGTAATGAAAATGGAAACAGTGGCATTAAAAAAATTAAGAGAAGGAATCAAGCTATCTATGCTGCAGAGGATGAAGATAAAACAGAATAATACTTCATATGATGTATAAATAAGTTCTCTCTGTACCTTTTTATGGGAAGGTGGTGAGAACTGTAGTGGACTATTCGTGCTTTTAATGTTACTTGGTCTTATTCATATTACTTTTTTAAGCTGAAGAGGCTGTATGTACCTCTTGCAGGGAAGAAGATTTATCTGGATTAAACATCTAAGTCAGAAGCAGACTTTTCCAACAAGGTACTTCATCAAAGGATTTAAGGCTCATGTATAATCGGTTGATTTTGCTTCAGTTCTTGGTTATTAGTGTATACTACGTATCTTCAGCTGTACTACTATACAAGATTCACCATGCTTGTTTAACAAGAAAGAACTCTGTAACTCAAGTCAAAGTGAGAGAATGTCCGACTTACAAGACTGAATGATTTGATTTTATTGCTTTTGTCTTGTTTTATACTGAACTTTTAATACAAAGTAGCATATGCAATAACTCAGTGAACTAAATTTGAAAATAGAATTCCCATGATAACAAAACAGCAATAGAAGAGTGAAGATTTTTGTTTCTGGTGATATTCATGCCATAGACAAACTTCATGGTCATAAACAAAACGATGTGTATTGTCCAGTATTGGCTTTTAATTACAGTTTCGATAGGGAACAAAGTCTCTTAATTTGAAGCATGACAGTTTTTGGGGGACCATGGAAGAGTGCATCTCTTAAACTCACTTGTGTGCTGCTGCTTAAAACTTGAGAACCATTTCTTAAAATTAAAATGCAAGTAGTTAGGATGAACAGCTTCCTAAATGTGGACATCATCACTGTCACAATTCTTACTAATTAAGGGTGTGTTGTATTTTCATATAAGGTGGTTGCTTGAGACAATAATGCCTGCCATTATCATTAGCCTAAGTTTTCATCTGTCCCTTCTTTTCAGTAGTATGTAATTTGCCAAATTCTTACAACTGGATTTGGAATCTTCCAAAGTACCTTCATAAACTTCAGCTGAGGGAGAACAGGAGCTGCCAGAATATAGATCCTCTTGGGAGTTTTCTTTTTACTGTTCTAGTTTGCCCTGAATTATTAGCAAGCAAATTACACTCCTTTGGCCTAAAAGGCTGTGAGGATAACAGAACTTCCTGAAGTCATGAAAATGACAAGTGTTTTCAAGAACTATAGCATATGTCATTAGACTCATTAGTTTTACAGTCAAGTTCTGCTGGTGTTCTGTGCTGAGCTTTTGGAATCCACATGGAGCGGGACTTCCTCATGACTGTGCTGCCCCTGAGAGCAGAGGTAGTCCTGTCTGCTTTTACTCCTCCAAGGCACAGGCACTGTGGAGAAGAAAGCATTCTGACAGGAAGAGGGAACTGGACAGGGAGCCATGAATTAAATGGATTGGTGAGTGTGAGTTGTGTAGCAGGGAAGCACTTTAAGGTCAAGACTTCCATCTTTTAAAATCACTTCCACATTCTGGGATTCATTTTGGTTCCTCTCCTGTCAGCAGTTCACTATGAAAACTAAATACGTGTAAGTGTTCAAGAGCTAGAAAATGGCAAAATTAATGCTCTCCGCAGTTCTGATTAACAGCTTTATACTGGTGGGTTAATGCCATTAACATCCTGTGTGGCTTTTTTTTTCCAGAGGACGCTATCTTGTTTACTAAATTATTAGTTGGGCCCTCTTAATACTGCTTCTGTATCTCTCTATGCCTGCTTATCTGTCAGAACCAAAGAGAACTGTGGTATGATGTGATGAAAACTTGGAAGCATTTGGTGTAACCCTCAGGTTATCTGAGCTAACTCTCAAGTTAGCTGTGAACTGTCAGCTAGATTACTGAAGATAGTTGAGTATCTTTAAGGGTCCTGGGTCTGCAATGCTAAAATCTTAAGCATGCCTCATGATCTGAAGACTATAATGGAAATAAAGTATTTTAAGTATAAATTGTGTTATGAACTTGAAAAGTCTCCCAAGAAATCTGAGCATGGTATTTGGCTGTTGAATTCTACATGAACTGGATTGGAAGATGTATGTTACATGTAATAGACTTTTTAGACTGACTTAATATGTTTTTAAAGCAAATTATTCTGTCATGTCGTGCCCCACCCTCCCCTTTCTGCTAAATGTGTTTTGGCTCTCTAGAAAGCAGGAGACTTTGACATAGAATACTGTTGTTTGTTTGGTTTTTTTTTTAGTCTTTAAAGATTTTTTCTTTTAGTGAAGTATTTCATCATCCATTGAACAGAGTGCAGCTGGTAAATATACTTAACATAAAATTTTCTTGAGTATGAACCATCCGAGATCTATGTGGAGTTACTGTGCCCTTTCTTGTAGTTGTTCACACCCTCTTTGCAGTTTGAAGTCTCCAGCTCCACTGTGCTCTTGTCTGTTATGGATTTTACCCGTCAGCAAGATCCTCTGCTGCATGTAGAGCTCAATTGAAGCTCGGAACTTTAAGCTTCCCCAGTAAAGAAGACCAAATACTCCAAAAAGTAGGTAAAACACTAGGGAAGGCTGACAGTGACTGGGTTCTTAAGACCCAGTCTCTTCAGTCCTCTTTAAAAGGAAGCTTTGAAGTCTTTCTGAAAACTTTTGACTTTTAAAATTTTGGTGAGAAACATCTGGAAAATGTTTCTCTCAGACCCTTGTATGAGTTATAATCACATATTTTTCAGTATATGAGACTTGCACTTAGTCTAAAAATGTCTTTGCTGTTACCTATAAAATGCTTGAGAAGTGTTCACCTGTTTCATTCCTGGCCAGCACACAGGTATTTTGATAAAGCCTGTTATTAATCTGTTCGGAGAAAAACAAAGAAGAGGGGTATAGGTTTGGTTGGTTGGTTTGGTTTTTTTTCATGAGAAGGGGAGTATTTTTTTTTTTTTTAAATTAAACCTATTGAATCCCAAAGTATGTTTATTGTGCTGCCATTATCCTCTGCAATCTCTGTCAGCTGACAAATCTGCATTTACCTCACAGTAGCAAAAGTTGACAGTGTGAACCCTGACATGATGTTTTTACTATTCCCCCCCCCTTTAATTCTGTCTTCAGGAGCAATGAGTTCATACAACTAGTATCCCCATGCCTCAAAATGTGAAATACAAGGGCCTAATACGAAAATACTGTTACCTTGTAGAAGTCTATAGTAAAAGTGAGTGAAGTCGTGGTTTTTTGGGGGTGTTTTCTGGAAAAAAAAAAAATCATGAAAGCAACAAAAACAATGACAAAGGAACACAAGCCATCTATTTTATGTGCAGCGAGGCTGAGGTCGGGAAGTGGCATGCCGTGCCTGTGCCCCAGATGAAGACTGTGCCTGAGTAGAGGGTTCTGAACAGCTCTCTAGGTCTCCATATACCTGGTGTGAATCAACTGCCAGCCTGCACCCTGCTCAAACTCTCTTCATTATGTTCCAGGAGCTCCATGCAGACAGGGGCAAGACCCAGGATGAGGATGTGTCGGAAGGACCCACAAAACTCCATGATTTCCACTCCTGCAGTCAGAACATAAGGTAGCTGAAGCTAAACCTGGTTGGTCCTAATGAAAAAAACGGGTCAGGCTGTTGGGCAGCTGAGGGGCTGTCCTGGAAGCAGCGCTAGTGGCCCTGTTCCCCCAGGTGTGGAATGGGGACTAAGAAGGGCAATAGGGGATGCCTGTTCCGGTGCTGTGGGAGCAGCCCGGGGTAAGGCCAGCCTCCCCTGCCTCAGAGCAATG